CTCCGTTGCATTGATTTCTGCTCAGATCTTTATCATTTCCTTTCTTGAACGAGCTTTGGGTTTGTTATGCTCTTCTTTTTCTTGGAGCTTGAGGTTCTTCATTAAGTTATTTAACTGAGGTCTCTCTGTTGTCCTAATATGGGCATTCACTGCTATGAATTTCCCATGTAAAATTGCTTTCAGTGTGTCCCACAGATTCCTGTATGTTGTACTGGCATTACCATTTAAGTGAAGAAACTGTATAATTTCTTCTTTAATTTCCTCTGTGACCCATTGGTTGTTCAGGAGGGTGTTTTTCAATTTCCAGGTGTTTGTGGGAGTTTTGCAGTTTCTTACGTTATTGATTTCCAGTTTTATTGCACTATAGTCTGATAATATGCAGGGGGTAGCTTCAAATCATTTACATTTACTTAGATTTGTCCTATGAGCTAGTATGTGATCTATTTTGGAGAATGACCCATGTGTAGCTGAAAAGAATATGTATTCTGATTTTGTGGGGTGGAACACTCTGTAAACATCTATTACATCCATTTGTTCAATAGCTTGGTTTGGTTGCAGAATTTCATTGCTAATTTTTTTTCTAGTTGATCTGTCTATTTGTGATAGAGGGGTGCTGTGTTCCCCCACTAGAATTTTATTAGTGCTTATTTGGTTTTTCATGTTCATTAATATTTACTTTGTATAGTTGGGGGTATTACTATTTGGTGCATATATATTTAGGATTGTCATCTCTTCCTCTCAATTGTTCCCTTCACAAGTATGTAGTGACCATGTTTGTCTCTCTTAATTATTTTTGATTTGAAATCTACTTTGTCTGCAAATAAGTTTGCTATGCCTGCTTTATTCTGGGTTCCTGTCACGTGAAGAATTGTTTTCCATACCTTTACTTTCAGTCTATAGATTTCCTTTTGAGTTAGGTGTGTTTCTTGTATACAGCATATTGCTGGGGTTTGCTTCTTAATCCATTCTGTCAGTCTATTTCTTTTGAGTGGTGAGTGGAGGCCATTAACATTGATAGTTATAATTGAGAGATATTGACTCATCCTTGTCATGATGTTCTACTCTTGTTGGCTCTTTTATATCTTATTTTCCCCCCTTTTGCTTTAGTTTCTTACCTTGCATGTTGGCTTCCCTCTGTTGGGCCTCATGGAGTTGTGACTTTCATTGTCTTTTTCTAGGATATTGCTTAAAATTGTTTGGAGTGCTGGTTTGGTGTTCATGAAATTTCTTTGTTGTGAAAGTTTCTAATTTCCTCATTGATTTTGAAAGATAATTTTGCTGGATACAACAGTCTAGGTTGGAAGTTATTTTCTTTCAGGGGTTGAAATACTTCACTCCAGACTCTCCTTGATTTGAGGGTTTGTGTTGAGAAGTCTGGGGTGATTCTGATGGGCTTTCCTTTGTAGGTGATTTGTTTCTTTTCTCGAACTGCCTGTAGAATTTTATTCTTCTTTTGAGTTTCTGGGATCTTGACTATTATATGTCTAGGTGTAGAATTTTTTTGGTCATGGCTAGTTGGATTTCTATATGCCTCACTTATCTGTACATCCAATTCTCTACCTCTGGCTGGGAAGTTTTCTACTATTACTTCTGTGAACAGTTTTTTTAGGTCAGTTGCACTTTCTCCTGTTTTTTCATGGACTCCTATTAGCCTTATGTTTTTCTTCTTTGTGTCATCTAGCAGCTGTTGGATTGATTTCTCATGGTCCCTTAATGTCTTTAAGAATCTCTGTTTTCATGGTCCTTAACTGCAAATCCTGTCTTCTATATCTGATATTCTGTCTTTAGATTCTCTTAGTCTGCTGTGCATGCTTTCAATGGAGTTTTTAATCTCCTGAATATCTGTTTGAATCTGTTTCATGGATTCCATTTCTTTTTTCTGTTGGGTGATCATGGTTTCCATTTCTTTCTTATGCTGGGCATTCATGGCTTCCATTATATTTCTGATATCATATATATTATCTGTTTCTGCTCTAGAACCTCTAACCATGTCTTTCACTCTGCTCACCATCTCTGTATTTATCTGGGTGATTATTTCTGCTTTGAAATTTTCTAGAGCCTCATGCATCTGCTTTGCTACTTTCTATGCTATCAGTTCAGGGTGTCCAAGTGGTTGCTTATCAGACTTTTCTACCTCATTTCCCCCAGAATTTCCTTTTTGTGGTGCAGAAGCCTGTGTTTCTGCCTTGCTTAAATGTCTTCTCATTTTTTGCTTTTGGTACTGTCCTTGATTTAATTCCTGGGTTGATATTTCAAAATTGCTTAATATAGGTATCTTTGTTGCTTGTGTTTAAAACCCTGGTGGAATAATTGCTTTTCAGAGATGTCTTTCAGGTATAGCTTGTGTTTTGGTTTTGAGACTCTAATGACTCGGAGGCTATTTTATTTTCCTTGTACCAGGAAGGAAAACTAATTAGATCAAACACAAAAAGTTAGCCCCCAAATCATAGTCAGCAATACCATAACATCAAGCATAGCTTAGAAAATGATGATTTGTTGTAGTTATTAATCTATCACATTTAACTATGTGAGTTAAATTAAAACTGAGGACCAACCCAAAATAAGTTTATGGTGAATAAACTCTTCAATATAGCATCTTTCCCCTTTGGGGTGGGGAGTTAAAAGGATTTGGGGAGGGAGGGACAGGTAGAAAGATCAGGAAAGATTAGCAGTGAGGCCAGAAGACACAGGAAGATCACACAAACTCTAAGAATTTGTTAAAGGCAAAAGGAAAAGGCAGAGTGAAAGAAGATGTGAATAGAATCACCTAACAGCTACAGGGAGGCTAATACCATATGTACTTTCCTTTAAACCTAATGATAATCAAGAGAAGGAAAAAGAGAAGAAAATAAAGGAGAAGTCCAAATTCAGTACAGGAAGGAGCAAATGGGGAAATGAAAAGCAATGTGGGACAGCGAGAGAATAAAGGAGAGTGAGAGACATATATATATATATATATATATATAGAGAGAGAGAGAGAGAGAGAGAGAGAGAGAGAGAGAAGATAAAAGAAAGAAAAGAAAGGAAAGTAAAAATTTGAAGAGTAGAAAAAGTAAAAATTAAGAATTAAAAATAAGAGAAAAGAGAATTTTTTTTTCTTTTTTGCAAATAGCAGAAAAGAAAAATTATGAGCCTCCTTCAGGGTGTGTCTCTGCTGTCACAGTCGGCAATGTAGGAATCCATGTGCATATAGGAGTCAATGAGTCTCAGCAAGCCAGGAGCAGACCAAGTACAGTGGTCTGATGTGCCTTTATTGTAGAGATTCTCTTTACTTTTCCACTGAGCTTCAGTTTTCATTGAGAAGCCGGAGAAGCCCTCTTTCTGTTAATAACTTCTGGTCTATCTTGTGGCACTCAGGACAAGGGTCTTTATAATCCCCTGTGCCTCTTAGTGTGGGACCAGGTAGCAGAAAAGCCAGAAGGCCAGAGGCGCGGTGGGGGGGAGATTGGGCCTTGGAGGCACCTGAGAGGCTAAGGGGACCTCACTGTTGCATAGGTGGGGCTAGGGACGGCCACAGAACTTCACGCTGCTTGTCTCACCAGTTTATGCTGGTTGGTTGTGCCTGGGACAGCATCTGATGGAGGCAGGACTCCTAGACTCACGTGGGACCTCACTGTGGTGTGCACGTTGCCTAGAATGGCTGCAGAGCTTTCAGCCCCTTTTCTTTTGAGTTTTCATTTTTTTACTTCTCTTTTTTCCTCTGCCTAGTGAATATGAAGTTAGGGACTGGACCACCACACTCCTATGGTGCAATTTCCACCTCTTTTCTTTGTTCAAGTGGTGTTAAGCCCCACAGCCAACTGTAGGGGGTCCAGTCTCCTCCTCTTTTGTTTTCTTGACCAGCCTTAAAGCAGGCCTGTTCTCTCCTATCCTCTGGCTCCCACCGCTTTCTGCTTTCTGCTTTCCGCTTTCCACTTTCCCCATGACCAGGATTGCAAAGGAGCATCTTGCTCCCATGGCTTTGCACCAATCCTGCCTGGGCTGCTCCTGATTTCTCTTTCTAAAAGGATCAGTAACTTTTGTCATCTTTTATCTGTTCCTGTGTGCTTTTCACTTCTGTGAATTATCTGTTGACCTGTTTCATCTATTTGTGTGTATATTGCAGTCTACATATTTGGTCACTGATTTATATAATATTTCCTAGTACACAGTGCATAAAAATCATTTGTTCTTACAAGTATTGCATGATATAATTCCATAGTATGTGCAAGATTTTATATTAACTACAAACATTTAATTGTTTTTCTTTTAAATATGCCAGTTGTTAGATGAATGGCATAAAATAATTGTATTGTAAAGTCTTCAAAACTACTTGTAACTAAATTAAATTTTTAAAAATAATTTAATGACTGTGATGGGAGCATATTAGTGTCATGAGACTTATGCGATTGTCTTGTTATCAGTAAAGCCAGCTGCTTTGATCAATTTTAGTGTAAAGTTCATCCATCATATGCAACTTCAAGGAGGGCCTTCTTCATTTTTGTAGTTCAATTTATATATTTCCCATACTTTTTATACTATTTTCATTGTTGTTTATTATAGTTGTTATAAGAATGTCTAGATTTAAAGGATAATGACAATTATGTCATTTTCAATCAGTGAAAATTTTAATTTTTTCATGTAAGCATTAAGGAGGGAGGAATTGGACAATAGGATACTGAAGAAAGAAGAAAATGAGACGTACATTCTAAAGTACATGTTGAATTATTTCAAACTGTCTATCCCAAACATAATGAATTTCATAATGTGTCTAGAAGATAATTTAATGATGCTGTTTTGTTCTGAAAAGTAAGAGGTATATATATTAATGTACATTTGGAAGAATTGAAGGTTCAAGAAGTGTTTTTAGATTATCAGTTCTACATTATTACAATATATAATTGAGAACTTACGTATATTATCAAAGACTAGAAATGATAAGACTAAGATTGTCAGTTTTTAGAGGTCTAGAGGAAACACAAATTAGGATGTGAAATCAAAAACTTTCTCAATAAAATCAATATTATAGAAACAAGCATTTAGTAAATCTTACATTTCTCATTCTATGTATATTCTCTTGAGGAATGACCACAGCAAGAAGAACATAAATGTTTGACAAGTTCCTTTGAGAAAGAGGAGATGATGATGTGGCTCTAACAGAATCAGTCAAGAAGCACTACTGGTGTTCCAAAACCACATAGAATGGTATGTTTCACAAAATTTTAATTACATATTTTCTCCAGAAAAATGATGAAACTATAATATGCTGGATATTTGCAAAATCATAGTTATTCTATGTGAATTTTTTAATGTTATGTCCATGAATAACTCATGAATCAGCTAAATGAAATGTTTTGGTTTCGGGTATAAATTACAGTGGTGATTTCCAACAGGTACTCATATTTCTTATTTTTATTTTTCCCCAACCATCCCCTATCCATAGCCTGAGTTTTCTACTTCTTTTCCACTTATTAATATCTTGAATATGAAACTTAAAGTTTGTTATGTAAGTTGTGAAATTTGTGTAGCACAGGCGGAAGGAATTTTTCATCACAAACTCTTCTTTTTGGAATAAACTGGGGGAACTTTCAAATACATCATTCCCATCTACCAGGACTGCGAACTTCAGGCACAGATAAAATTACTCCCTTTTTTTCTTTTTTCCAGTTTTTGTAAACTTTCTGCAACAAAATAGACAACATTTAATGATGATGAATACCAGACTGACCACACAGGTCAGCAGGAACCCAATCACATCTAAAGAGTGGTACTGGAACCAGGACAGGTTGTGGGCTGCAACTCGAAGGTGCTTGGCCCCTTTGTGGCGCATGACAAACTCAATCCAGAAGACTGCTCGGTCCAGGGGCTTCACTGGCTGGTCATGGTGAATTCTTGATAACCTCATGGCATTCTCTTTATAGCTACAGGGGAAACAGAAAGACCAACATTGAGTCACTTAATTTGTCTAAGTGTATAAAAAGTTTTTAGAAACTTTTGTAATGATGCATCAAAATATATCCAAAAAGAAAAGCAGTAAAGGTGGTATATCATGACATAGGTCATTTTAGAAAGTTTGGTTTTTATGTTGGAATTTTCTTGTAGGCATTTTTTTTTATCTCCATGTGGTTAGTGAGATTCTGAAAAGCCATTTGAAACTGTCATCTTGAAATTTTAAAAGAGGAATTATGCCCTGCTGGGTGAAATGTCTGCTAAGTTGTTTTTTTCCATGGTTCTACCCTTATCTCTCTCATTTCCACCTGGTAGAGTTTGTTTTTTTTTCCAAGTTCACATCAGATTAGGACAGTACACTGGTCAAAATTTCTGCCTCCTGATCATATTTAGAATAACATGTAGATCCCTTCTTTAGACCACCTGGCCACAAAGTATCACATACAGGAAAGTTTTTCTCCCATGTACATTCTCATTCTTTATTGTTCTGTTTACTTAGCACTTTGTAGAACTTTAAAGTTCATTATGTTTTAATAGAACTTTAAATAGCTATTTAATAAAATGCACCTGTCATTAATTAATAGCTGGCTATTATATAATTGGGTTGATAATTCTTGTGAAGTAAAGATTTTGATATATCTACAATCAAATCATGATTTTTGATGTCACATTTACCTAGAACCACTACTCCTTTGCAGACTGCGTTAGCATTAGTCCCTTCCCCAAATTAATACTATTCTGACTACTAACACCATATTTTTTTCACATTTATTTATGAGAATAATACAGCATGTATTTATTAGGGTCTGTTTTTTGTAACAGTTGCTTAATTCCACTGTGTGTAATTACCACAGATTATCACTTCATTTTATGGTTTTTCAAATTCTGGAGTTTTAACAGTTGTTTACTATTATATTTAATACCATTTTGCACATTATTGTGTGTATATTGGTTTATTGATTCAGATATTTTTGTGTTTTATATGGTTAAGAATAAAATTACTGTGATAAAATGCATGTAAAATTATAATTTCTTTGTTGTATATTGTGTTTAGATGTGTATTGCTTAAATCTTAATTCTTTTTTTTTCCTTAAATTTTTTTATTGGTACATTTTAGGTATACAATACATTTACATTTATCTTTGGATGCTTGTAACTGTAAATGAAGTATCTTGGTTCTTATTTTTTCCCTATTACCTGAGCACCCTTCACCCCTTCCACCCTTCCCTATTTACATAGACTTCATTTCCATTTTTTTCTTCTCTCATAATTTTTCCTTTCCATTCTTTCATTTCCCCATCTTCTCCCATGACCCCTACCCCTTTGGACCTTTTCCTATTTCAAAGTATCAATTATTAGTTATTAATCCTTTTAGTCCTTATTTACACTCTGTTTCTCACACTAGAGAAACTATTCGGTATTTACACGTCTGTCTTATTTATTTTACTTAAGAGTATGGCCTCCATATGCATCCATTTAGCTATAAATGGGGAAAAGGAGCTAAATTTAATTCTTGAAGAATTTTTATATACCTATTTTTTAAACTGTAAAAATTTTAATTCCACTATGGCTGCTCAATATATTTTTTATATTTTGGATCTTTTAAAATTTACCTACCAGTTTTATGAAGCAAATATTTATATATTTCACTTAGTTTCCATTTGTTAATTAGGTTTTTCAAATCTGATATGTTCTCATTAATTATTTTTTCATATTTTCTGTTTTTGAAAAAGATATTTAAAAGCTCTCTATTGTGAATATAGCTGTACATTTATATTTTTTCTCTTTTCATTTTGGAGTTGTTTTGAGCCTTAACAAGTAGGTACAAAAAATTAAGAAATTATATTGAATGAACCATTAATTAATATCATGAAATATTCATTTTAACATTTGATTATATTTTGGCCTACTTTGATTTTGGTAAATCTATAGCAGCTTACTTTAGTATGACATAAAATAACTGCTTACTCTTTTACTCATAGACTTTGGATATGGTTACATAAAATCCATTTTACAAATAAAATACACAGTGAGATTTAAAATCCAGGCTTTTTGTCTTGTAATGGTTTAGTCTCTTTATGATTGAGGTAAGTATTAAAATATATTTAAATCTCTCATCTTATTCTGCATTTCCTCTTCTATTTTTCCAACCTGAAATATTCACTTTCTCTATTGTCTCTGACTATTTGTGAAGTACTTTAACATTCAAATTTAGTACTATTTTCTTTTTGATAATGAATTGTTAATGTATTCCTGTAATGACATCTTCTTTTCATAATATTATCACTGATAATTTTACATTATGGTGATTTAACATTAGAAATACTAGGACCTACATATTTTATTATTTCTGTTACAGTATTGAAAAATTTGATTACCAAAGATATATTTTATTAGTGTTACAAATTTGTATGTTTTAAAATCCATCATCAAGAAAGACATGAATCCATGAGTTTTGAATGGAAGAAAATATCTGCCATTCAAATATCTGAAAATTGGCTTACAATGAAATAGTAAGTGGACAAAAACTTAGTAAGAAAAGTTTTAGGGATTGAAAAAATTATCTCACCAAAATATAAATATGAATAACCAATAGGTCTTTGAACAACTAATTATTTCTTTTATACATAAGTGAAATGAAAAGTGAGATCATAATATTATAGCACATTGTGACCCCTTGAAAGTCTGTAATTGAAAAATTTAATGTTAATAAATCTTAGTAATCACTTGGAAAAATTGGAGCTTTCCTATACTACTGGTTCAGGATGTAAAATTTTGAAACTTTTTTGAAAAACAGATGGACTTTTACTCAATGGCATGAAGTTTTTGTGTGAGGTAGTAATTGTACAATTTTATAATATACAATAGAGGTAAAATTTATACTTTCACACACAAAACATACATAGCCTTATTCAAATTAGAAACAATAAACATTCCATAAAGTAAAAAATGGATAAATAAAATGTGGCATATTGTACTAAATTATATTATTCAGCAATAGACAGTGTGATGAATGTTAAAACATGGACAAAAGTAAAAACCCACATGATAAGAGGAACAACACTTTCTAGCATATTGAACATTATGTAATCTAATTTTACAATACTATATGTAAAGAATTTCTTGTACTTTATTGTTACTAGGACAAAATACCCAACACCTAGACCTTAAGGGAAGAGAAGTATAATTTGTCTCAAAGTGTATACAATTTAAGAAAAAGATAACTAGTTTCAGAAAGTTTAGATATTTACTTGAAATATTTTATCATAGTTTAAAAATTCATATTCCTTTTCAACTATGCAATCTGTCATATTATTAAAATGTATTTATTTAAGTACACAGTAACATTTTTATATGTTTTTAAATTGTTTTATTAATAACTGGTCAAGCAGTGAATCTATGTGGTTAATTTGCAGTTAAAATCACTAGTTGAGAGTAAAAACCCATTTCTTTGTATTTACATCAATTCAGGTTTCAAAATTAGATTCAAAATTGGATTAAATCTATTTTTAAACTGTTATTTGAAAACTACCTAATAGATACAACTTGTACTCACTAAGGATCATTAATGATGGTCTTCAATGCATTGAGCAAATCTGTACTTGACATTGTGATGAAATCCAATCTAACAGCTGCTCCCTTGGCCTTCATGCGAACAATGTTATCCGGTTGATCCCCAAACAAAGGAATGCCCACCATAGGGACACCATGGTAGATTGCCTCATATATGCCATTGGTTCCACCATGAGTTATAAAAGCTTTGGTTTTGGTGTGACCTAGGATTGGAAGAATTTAAGGAAAATTATTGATTATAAATCTTAAATATATAATAAAATATTGCAATAGAAGGCATTGAAAGATGAATATTTCTAGGTATCTGATTATTACAACCATAAAACTATGTAGAAAGTTCTTAGTCCACTGAGGTAAGTGAAGGCTGCAAGGAAAACGTAGTATGTGAATTGAGACATGAGAAAGTAAAACAAGGTTGTCAGTTGGGCAAAAGAAAGAACACAATGTGGGAAGAAAGAAATAGCATGTGAAAACATAGAAAGTGTCATGGGAGAATGTGTTCTCCTAAAGACACAGTGCAGTTCCTGAGTTTGATATGGAGGTGTTTAGGGAACCAGAGAGTATTTATGGTTCTGGAATCAGTGAAATGAAAGGTCAATTTTCATCATGAAATATTTTATCAGTTTATTACCTGGAATATTTACTAAGGAAAATAAAGTCAGATATAGTAAATGAGACAGTTTTAATTTTCAGCCACAAATGATATAGCCCCAGAGTAGGAAAGTATAGGAATAAAGTAGAAGAGAGAAGAGATAAAGTCAAGGTGAGAAGTGATTTAAAAACTTTTCTGATAATAAAGAGTGTTACTGTGTGTAATAAAATGCCATAGTCAACCTTTACAAATTTTTCCCCTAAAAATGGAACATAAATGTAAAATTGATAGGAAGTTTTTGCATTGTTGATAACAAATTTTCAATACATTTATTTCCTGCCAATATGTTATCTTGTCAGTGGTCTGTTTCTCAGGTTTTGGGGTTTGTTCTCCAGAGTCTCACCAAGAAGGTCATTCTGAGGGATCCATTTGTACAGCTTAGTGTTGTATCCTAGGGTATCTGGTTTCTTGCCATCAAATCTCCATATTACCTTTCAGGGAAAGAAAACTTTTAATTACTTTAGCTAAACTTTAAATTGTAGCATGATCAAAAGCTAAGGAGTTTAAGAAATCACACAATTAAATGTCTATCATGAGATATAATGAGATCCAGAGATGATAATAACTACTAAATTTGCAATGTACATTGAATGCATACTTTTCCTGTATTTATTTTATATTTAATTAAATTTGGCATGCAGCCACAGTACTTCATAAATTGAATCTTAGACAAATGCATTCATCAATATCATATACATATATTTCTGAAATATTCACAATAGTTCTAATGCAATAATGTATGAAAATGCCTGACTAAACAATGATCTATATTTTATACTAATTGTGATATGCTAAATATATGCTGCCATTTAAAAGTCCTATTTGAGGAAGTTTATGTATAACCATCTATTTCATGTTATTTTATTAATGTTTGGTAATGTGGATTACATTTTTAATTCACAGAGTTGAACCTTTCTCTTAAATAGTCCTCTTTCAGATATTACAGGGGAAAATCTACCATGGTAGGTTGAGGTTTCTCTTTCTCTAAGTCTAGTTGATTTGTTTGGTACTTGCAGTCAGAGTTGGTATATTTGACAATATTTTCCATTAGTAGAAGAAAGTCAAAGTATCTGATACGTACAGCTGAAAGGACAAGTTTGTTTGACTTATAGTTTCAGTAGATTTAGTTCATGGTTGGCAGGCTCCAAGTGAGAAACATAAAAAGAAAAGGGAATGGCAGAACAAAGTTGGTTAGATATAGTTGGCCAAAAAGCAAGACAGGGAAACAGTGCCAGAGAGGAAGGGGTCATGAACCAGATAAAATATCCCAGGACATGCCTTCATGGTATTTGTACAAATACTTAGATGTATGCTTCACAGATCCTTCTTGAAGTTAATGAAGCAAACAAGTTGACATTCTGCCTCTTTTCAATTCCACACTCAAGCAAATCTCCTTAAGCCTTACTTACTATCCAAAGAAAATCAATAATCAGTTCAGAGCTGTGCCCAACATGATACAACTATGCTGTGTACAACTGAAAATTTGATAGTCCTTTCCCAAAGATCTGGCATTGCTCAGAAATGCAAGTAAAAGTCTGCTCTCAGACTCAAAGAACGTCTCATTTGTGAACCCCTATGGAATAATACTCAAGTTATGTAATCCCATGGTTTAATGGTCCAGGATAAGCATTTCCATTCCAAAAGGGAGAGAAATAGCAAGATAGGAAAGCATAAGATGAAAGGAATCCTGAAACTCAATAGGGCAAACAAGGCCTGTTACTTGATGTCTGGCATAAAGGATACATTATGGTAATATTTGAATTGCAATGGACTTGGAGAACCACAACTCTATGCCCTTGCTGGTTGCAAGGCATATAGTCACTCTTCCACATACTGCCTATGGCTCTCATTAGTAAATGTTTCCCATTCCTAGCAGCTCTGATTTCTCAGAGTCTGTACTGCACATTCTGATTTATTTGAAAGCAAAAGCTTCAAACACTGCCCTCTCAGGAGCTCATTGGTTGACCTCTTTCTTAGTAGCATTGTGATCTCAGCTCTGACCAGAATCGCCAGTCAGGCTCTACTCACAGTATCATGGGCTTCCCTACCTTGTATTTCCAAACCTATCCAGCATTTTCTGACAAATCAGTTTCAATAGCTTCTAAATCACTTTAACAGATATAGTCACAGCAAAGACCTCATTTGCCTGGTATCAATTTTCTGTAGTAGGCAGCTTTCCTATAGCTCAAGTAAAGTACCTAACACCCACAACTGAAGGAAGAGAAGTTTATCTGGCTCCTGATTCCAATAGATTCCATCCATTATTGGCTGGCTCTGAGGGAAAATCTTTACAGGGTAAGATCACAGCAGAGCACAACTGCTTAGCTTATGATGGCTTGGAGGCATAGCAAGGGAACAGTGCCAGAAAGAAAGGGCCAAGAGACCATGACCCAAGGTCATGTCCCCATTACCTACTCAGGCACACATGAAAATGTCATTTACCATTCTCCTGGGCAGCTCCCAATCCAACCATATTGACAGTTATGCTTAATCTTCACTCTTGATGAGTCATTTTTTTTCCTTTTTCTGAATAGCACCAACAACAGCATTATGAATAGGCCCTTTCCAGCATTTATGAGAGTAAAGGAGGTAGATTCACACAGGAGATGTTGCTGAGAAATGCACATCTGACTATGTAGTATTTGCTTATTTTTATTGTGCAACTGGTTTGATTCACTAAAATTTAACCAGACTTGGATAAGTTCTGTAGTATACACACTGTCCTAAATAATCCTGCAAAGATAATAAAGAAATGACAGGGCAGAATTCAGTGACTTCTGTGTCTCTGCTTTCAAGACAAATCTAATACTAAGTTCACAATAGACTTGTTAAATATGTGTCTATCTGACCACAATATAATAGAAGGCAACCTATACACTCTCTGAATGCATGACTTATATCAATGTTCCAAATGCCATTTGTGGCATAAATGAGAGAAATCATGAAGGTGTATCTCTCATCAAGGACATTTCTGTAATGACACTCTTTACAGCCTCATTCAGTAATTGTGCACCACTTAAGCACTTTATTTCACCTTTTGTGGAATCTGAGCAAGGGCTGACGCAATTACATTGGCTCTTTCTTCTGTTATGTTCCTGACCATTGACCCCAGAGTAAACACCACAACACCATGTTCTCCAGAGCTCTGCACAAAGTCTTCCATTTCCTATAAAGAAAGAATTTGCTTTATCACAAAAGAAAAACAGCAGCCCCCACACTTGAAAGCACTGGAAAAAACTACTGAGGAAAGAAATCATATAGTACCAGAATTTATTACAGTAGTTTCTCTTAAAAAGCAATACATGTAATTATAACCCATTATAAGGTGTTTAGTTCAATAATGTAGCACATGCATTTTTGAAAGCAATCTCTAGAATATTTTTATCTTGCAATACTGAAACATTCTCAAATTAAAGAAATATTCCTCACTGATTTCCTAGACCCTTGGCTAGTATACTTCAAGGTTCTGTTTCTATGAATGGACTAATTTAAACACATCATACAATTGGATTTATATAATATTTCTCTTATATTTTGAAGGGCTAATTTTACTTAATTTAATTCCAGGATAGAAAGAGCTCAGACATTACCTCCAGAAGGAGCCCTCGGTACCCCAAATCCAGTAACATTCATAGACTCTGGCACAGAGAAGACAGCAGACAGAGCCCAGCATGTTTTCTGAGGCCAACCTATAGCTGCCTGGTATGAATGTTGGCACTACCAGGGCCAGAATAAATGCTCTTTTTCAAATTCAGAAAAAAATATTTTGTTAAATGTAGCATGTGTCCCAACTGCCTATGTTTATAAGGCTTAGTAATATTTCTATATGTACATACTTCATAGAATTTGTTGGTAAATCTGCTAATAGAAACGTAGGTTGCTTCAATCCCTGTAAGGAACAGAGCTGCTGTGATCACCGAAGTCTTTCCATTAACCCTGTACATATATTTCCACTCCCTCTGACAATTTCATGCTCTGAGCCTGGCCTCTTCCAGCAGAATACAGCCCTGTAAAATTCCTGGTTTGATCCTCGGTCTCCCAAGGAATCCCAGGAGATCTCTCCTTAGCTCTTCGCCTCTACAAGCCTAGGACCCAAGAATTCTCTGACCTGGTCTCTGTGGTTGGGTCACTTTTTTCCTGAAGTGAAACTCTTCCTGGGTATAGGTGTCATCTTCAGTCATGTGAGTAAGTTATATTTCACCTCTGTTGCCCTAGACCATAACCTGGTGTGTGCTTGTCTGGTCAGTCCTGGGGTTGCTCCCAGGACTGGGTGCTCTGTGGTGGCCCTCATGTGTTGCAAGGAGTAGGTTGGCCAGACAGCAGGTTATGTTCTTCTTCCCTGGGCCACTTGCATGGTGCAGATCCTGGCGTACAGCCTGGGAATGGGATAGTCATCCAGAAAATTGTGACCTACTTGGGGCTTGAGGTTGCAGTCCCTCACTGCATTTTCAATATTTAAGGCCTACCTTTGTCCTTTCTTTTGCACTATCTTAATGTATAACAAATTAGTACATTTAACTTTTTAAAACAAGACAATTACTTATTCCTCTCTTCTTGATCTCTGCAGCATTTGAAAACACATATGGAATGCTCTTATTTTATGACAATATAATTATTTGCATGAGTCAATAAGAATCTGTATTCCTTGAATGCATGTGCAGTTAGAAGCATTGCTTGTATTACCATGGCTTTGATTGGTTCATCATACTTAGCAGTAATATATGCAGAATCTGATTTTAGAAAATGGAGTTGACGTTATACAGTCAATGCTGTGCACTCTTCTGAAAAATTGGTCTGCTGCCTGGCTAAAAATGTCCAATACTTTGTATAAGTGCCAAGTTCTCTTCTTGTCATATTCAGGACAATTACGTTTTCTTGGAGACCTCACAAAGACAGGACAGGAATTTACTCAAATCTATTGATACTGAGTGTCAAGTCTTGCTTCTGGCTTGGCTTTCAAGCCTTGGGAGGCTTTTAAAAACTGCTCTGATATTCCTTGTGAAAAGTTCCCTCAAGACAAACTACAAAAAACTCCAATTGATTCCATTCTTGTTGTTATGAAGACTAGTACAATGAAACAAGATGCATCATTAGATATATAATAACCTTAATCAGTTTATCATTGATCAGAAGTGGGCTTGCTTATAAGTGTACTTTAGGTTAGAATGGAATGCCATAGCATAATATTTTTGCTAATATTTGTAAATTGGACTGGGTCACATTATGCCCATTCTCACCAAATTTTTAAATTTCTTTCCTCCAATGTGTAGCTTTAAGGCACCAAACTAAAGTTTCCACAGTTTTGTGCAATTTTGGTCTATAGAATATGGTCTCCTAATTTTTAAATACTTACTGTAACTCTCTAAGAAGCTTCTCTAGTGGAAGCTGGGTGTTTGCATCCTATGGTCTGATATACAACCATGACCGTCTGTGCCATCACCAAAGTCACTCAAACATTCAACTGTAATATTCTCAAGTCCAGAAATCTCAATTGGCTGTCCTCTCAACTCAACTTTGATTTTGTGTGTGTGTGTGTGTGTGTGTGTGTGTTAACACCATGCAGCAAATATTTTCTATTGTATCATCTCAAGAAAAGCCTGAACTATTCTTGAAGAACTAAAGTGATGAAATGAGCAAAGAAATTTATGTTGTTCAGAAGAAGGAACAATATCTGTTTTTGCTAAGAGGGAGAAGTGATGAAGATTTACTCCTTGACCAAACTGATCAAGATGCTCTGAGAACAGAAGATCCTCTAGATCTTCAATATGAACTATTTTGTTTCTCCTTGCTATGTCCAATTTTAGCTGGAATCCTGCTATGTTGAGCCAAATCACAATCATTAACTTTCTACATCTGGTCAATCTGGATATGGAATCATAGTTCTTACTTTCTGTAATCTCCTCATATTCTTTGTGAAACCCTGTTCTGCCTTCAAAAAGAATCATGTTATATTGGATTTAGCAAGAATCTTATCTGATCCAAAATGTTTATTCTAGTCATTTTAGCCCTGAAAATTCCAGCCCTAGAATTTGGCTATAAATCCCTTCTTTCCTTGTATATAAGAGTGAGCCCAATGTCTCTTCCCTCTTGTAAAATGGCTTCATAGTGGTCCTAACAATTTTTGAGAGAGTTCTTAGTAAAGTCTGCCTTGCTGACTCTAAACTTATTGACCAGTGTCATGAGATTTTTAAAATTTAAAGAAGTAGTTAGAAAACTTATACTTAGAATTAATTATTTAATAATGTTATTAATAATAATTTATATTCATAGAAGTAGCATATTCTAGCATCTTCATGTTTAATTATTAATGTTCTAGTATCAAATCACTTGTGTTTATGCTAAGCAAATTATGTGGAAATTTGTCATATTTTGTTGTGAGCCACTTAGTTCTTGACCATAAGAAAAATTAAGAAAAAATAACTTTTGTGATTATCTTTTTCTCTGACCTAAATTCCTTCATAGATTAACTTATTGTTTGTCATAATTGCATAAGCTTTTTCTTGAAGTCATTATTTATTTCTAGGTTCCCAAGAATCATTGAAATATAGGAATCTACCATTGTGGTTTAGAATTTTGGTGAAATAACTGCATAAGCCCTATTAATTCTCTAGGATAATACATGCAAAACTATGTGTTTGAATGAAAACACCTCTGTACTTGTTTCCTTTGACACTGTTTGCCTAGTAATTACTGCTAAATTGATATCCCAGTAAAATATTCTGTGTGTAACAGCCTGTGAGGAAGCTTAATTTTTATCTCTGTGTCTGGCAGGAAAAACTTGCACCAGAGTCAGACAGGTCAACCAGGGCTGAGACATAGTTCTCTTCTCTCCTTTGGATCTCACTTCATACTTTAGAAACTTCTTGGCAAAAGACATGCTTTCCTGGAATTCTTGGGGGACTTAATCTAATATGTTGATTAATATGGCATTTAATTGAAGGCCTTCGCACTGAGCTACATCTTCAGCCTTGTTTGTTTAATTTTTTTAAATATTGGGACAAGTTTAGACTATGTTGTGAAGTTTCTCAGGCTGGGTTTGAACTGGTGATCTGCCTGCATCATCATCCCAGGGTGCTGGGATTATAGGCATTTACCAGTAGACCCAACTGGCTGATATATTCTATGCAATACTTATTCCGCACATTCTTGACAAACTGCCCACCAAAATGAAAGAAACGAAAAATGTTAGAACCATATCCTCATTTCCTGTTGTTTTTTAATTTTTTTTCCATTAAATAATCATCCAATTTTCAGGGTATGGTGTTATTCACCTGTAATCTCAGGATGCTAGAGGCTGAGGCAGGAAGACCCCAGCAAGTTTGAGGCCGCCATGGGCTACACCATGAATTCAAGGCCAGTCTGAAATACATAGAATCCCCATTTTTGAAAAAAACAAACAAAAACTCATTACCAAATTCCACCAAGCTAAGCTGTATATTTGTTTTTCCTGATAATTTTTCCTAATCATTTCAAGTTCTCTGTATAAACTCCTATTGTCCATAGCATTCAAAAAAATTGAAATTTTTAAATGCGGGCATCAGCTTCGTTTACAGTGCATTCTGACTCTGACACACATGTTGCATCTAGTTTTTTCTGTAAGAATCCCTAAAACAGTAACACTATTTAAAGTCACTTTTATTCAGTGTTTTATTTCATGAGTATTCTAATGAAATGATTTCTTCATCTTTGCTGAGGAGCATGTTTTCCTACACTGATTAGTAAAACTCCTTTTCAGGATCAATCACTGACATGGCTTCATCATTCTTTTTCTGAAAATATTCTTATAAAATTCAAAAGAGCTCCTTAAATAAACACATGGCAAAGTATAAAGTGTAGAAGAGTAACGGAGTAAATGAGGTAATCTCCATGCAAAGATATCCCTGGGTTGAAATTTGTCTATTGTTGGAGTTGGGGTTATACTTCAGTGCTAGAGTACATGCTTAGCATGAATAAAGCCCTGGGTTCAATCCCTAGCAAACAGAGCTGTAAAAGAAATTTGCATGTTTTCATTCTTTTTAAAAATTCTATTCCTAAAATCAAATGCATATATGTATAGGGTGAGGTTGCAACCCACTGGTGGAGCACTTGCCAAGCAACTCTGGGATTAATCCCAACCACAAGCACACATATGTGCATATAGGTGACATTTAGAAAACTGTAATTCTACTAGATATACATTTCCATCCACCATGAAAATACTAATCGTACTATTCATTCACTCCTCAGATTTGAAGTATGTTTATATCATACCTGACAATGTGATTTAGAATTCTCCTGTCAAATGCTTATAATAGCTCGTTTTAAAATCATTCTCTTAAATTGATTCCAATGTTTATTTTGTGAATAACTACTGTAAGTATGGATCATGCCCATTTTGATAATTTTTCTGTATATAATTTCCCATAAATCTGTCATGAAAAATGGAGATTAGGAAAATTTTCTGTCTTCGCTCACTATGTTTAAAAAATTAATTCATTCATAATACTACATAGTGTGCTATTTTGTACATGTGTACCATGATTCACCTTCTATTTATTCTTTTTCTTGTCCCCCTTTTGACCTCCTCTCTTGCCTCTTCCACTGACACTGACAATTTCCTTTAACATGAATGGAAAAGTCTTTAAAAATAGAGTTGGATTTCATGAACCTTCATTAATCTTAATTTTGCTTTTGGAATTGCCAGGCAACATATTTAGCCACAATAATTGGCTTAGAGACAGATACAAGCTTTCAAATTTTGAATAAGATATTATTTCATATTGTTGCCAGTAAGTCTGCAGACAAAATGTTCTTAAAATCATTCGATGTCATTTAGTAGTTCAGTACGCTTTTTTGTTTTTTATATAAAGTGATATTTAACATATTCTTATGTTTCTTCATAAGGAATGGCATTATATATCCTTAAAAATCATTTTCTAATTGTGAAGAAAGAGGGGCAGACTTCAAATGCAGCTGGTAGATATCAATAGGCATTCTTTAAATATGCAGCGTCTGTGCTCTCCACTTTCTCTTTCAACTGCTGTCAGGCAGTTGTCATGAGTAGAGCCATGCTCACCAAGGAAATTTTCCTAAGGTCTCCTAGAGTCTTGCTGTAGCCAGGAAACACCTGTGGTCTTTCATCATTATAACATTTTCCACACAATATCTATTACTTGTTTATAGTCTGTCTCCCCAAGTAGAATGAGCAGTGTTGGGGAAGACACTGTGCCTATTTGGTTTCTCTGTGCACCCAGCTCTCTGCTCTGGGTAGTGCTGGGCACTTGTCAGTGTATTTGGATGGATGATGATTATTTTCTCATGTGTTTAATACTGCAATACCTTTGCTTAATTGTCAGTGTCAAAATCTTCAGATTTGCTTTTATTTTCAATGAAAATAAAATTCACCTACTTGCGAAGGAAAAATGTGTAAGAATGTCTGAGTGCTGGTCTCATTACCCCATTTCTTATAACTTTGTTACTGTAAGTGAGATGTTCAGAATGAAGATCATAGCATACTTTCTGCTGAAAGATAGAAGCAAAGAGAATCAATGTTTACCTTAGGCAGAGGTTTGGCAGGTTTGCAGTGGAGTCCTCCAACAAAATCAAAATTGGGTAAGGATGGGCGAGGGAATTCCAAATCCCAGTAGGTTCAGATAAGCCATATTTCTGCCTTTTCCATTGTGTCTCATAATGTATGGGTGTTCCTGAAGAGAAAAACGGACATTACAGCTATGGAATGTATGATGATTGTGAGCTGAATAAGAATGTGCCAGGTCATTTTCTGAAAGGCTTTCAGTGATGTAGCAGAAGTTGTTTAAAAGTGGAATCTTCTAATATATTCTACTGATCCTCAGGTCTGTTTCTTTGCCAGTACCATGCTCTTTTTATCACAGTAACTTTGCAATATAGTTTCAAGTTGGGAATTGTGATACCCCCAGCCATGTCTCTGTTGCCCAGAATTTCTTTTGCTATTCTAGATTTCTTCTGCTTCCAAAGGAATTTTTGGATTGTTTTATCTAGTTCTGTGAAGTATATTGTTGGAATTTCAATCAGCATTGCATTAAATCTATACTGCAGTTTTGGAACTATGGCCATTTTCACTATATTGATTCTTGCTATCCAGGCACAAGGGATATCTTTCCATTTTCTTATATCCTCTTCAATCTCCTTCTTCAGAGTGCTGTAGTTTTCAGTGTAGAGGTCTTTTGTTTCCTTTGTTAGGTTGATTCCTAGATGTTTCATTTTTTAAGATGCTATTGTAAAAGGAATTATTTCCCAAATTTCTCTCTCAATGGGTCTGCTATTTGCGTATAGGAAGGCTATTGTTTTTTGAGTGTTGACCTTATATCCAGCTACTCTACTGAATCTGTCAATTAAGTCTAGAAGTCTTTTGGTAGAGTTTTAT